GTAGAGGACAGTGTGATACTGGTTCAACACGAGGTTGACATGAGGGAAGCCATATTGTAGGAAAGAAACCCTATTGTAACTTTGAATGACCTCTGATTAACTGACATGCTCTGTGGATTCTATGGCCCCTTCCAGCTGCTATAAGTTGATAACTTTGTTCTTTTGAGTTCCTTAGGAATGTGATGACCCCCGGGCAGAGAGTCTATGCTGATAGCCATCAGTAATGACAACTGAAAGATCTGGGTATAGGGCGTTGCTCCAGTCTCTGATGCATATCCAGTAAAACAAAAGACTATCAGGAACTAAACAGACTATCAGGAACAGATATCTGCTCCCACCCAGAGATCAGATGGATGCCCCCACCCAGAGACCAGATGCCTCCCCCACCAGGAGACCAGCCCCCTATATAACTGGCCTGTAATCTTTGTGCTGTAAGATGGCTTTTTTAGGTCATGAGTTGGCCGTCTTCCCTCTTGCTAGCAAGCTGTAATAAAAAGTCCTTTCTCTCCTACCACCTTGCCTCTTGACTACTGGCATGTCTTGCAGCAGGCAGAAGACGCCCCCTTGGGTGGTAACAAGTGCATATAGTTTGATCCCACTGGATATATATATATCTCTCTCTCTCTCCAATAAAATGCATACACAATTTATTATGTGTTTTGCTTTATACATAAAGGCCTATATAAAAACTAAGTTGTTTGTTTCTGCTCTTTGACATAACTTAACCCATTGCATGTACTTGAAAATATAAAGTCCCTATCTCCATTGGAACATGTTATTAACATCTGAAAAATTTTGTTATCTTCTTGGGAGACTCCATATCACACATGTTTGAAGATGCAGAGACTCAGAAATGGAGACTTTTAATGGTGGTTGCCCCTGGGGAGAGGCTGGGTCTGGAGAGTAAGGAGACTTTATGTTGCTGTATATACACTTTTGTGCTGCTTGCATTTTTGCCATGTGGAAGTAATACCTTAAAAAAAAAAAGTGGGGCCAGCCCAGTGGCATAGTGGTTGACTTCATGCTCTGCTTCATAGGACTGGGGTTCGCGGGTTTGGATCCTACATGCCACTCATCAAGCCATGCTGTGGCAGCGTCCCACTTACAAAACAGAGGAAG